ATACAAAAGGAAGGAGTTAAAAATAAGCCTGATTCTGTGTGGGACATTCAAGGTAATTATACTTGTTCCAAGTGTAGTTAAAGGTGAAAGTATAAGTCATATAAGTCATATAGCTTGCTAGCTGCATAATGAATAGGTCTAAGGTGATTTCTCTGTTTCTGGTTTCCTTAGGAAACTGTTACGGCATTTGAGATGTGTCAAGCGTCATCTCTGTGTTCCAGTGGAATGATTATTTCCTGTTACAGCTAATGCAGCCTTAATTGCTTCTGCCATATGGGCATGTGTCTTATAACCAGGGAATTTGCTAATATTGCCTGTTTTTAATAAAATACTTGGAATAGACAGATCTAGATATTATCTACATATAAAAGAATTTTTATTTCCAGAATCCCTAGAGTACTTTGGAAATCCCAGTAATTAACGCTGCAAGTTATTCTAATTCTGAGTAGAACAGAATAATAGCAAAGAGCAGATTCTTGTCTAGATTTTCGTCAATCAGATCAAAATCGTGGCATATTGAGCTGCTTAGTAGGATCCCCAAGAACTGGGATTGGAGTATAGCAAGCTGTACTGAAGAAAGATTTCCTCAGTTCAGTTTTATCTGCAATAGGAAAAAATATTACCTTTTCAATCTGTCAGAACCTTTATTGGATGAAATGACTGCACCAAAATGTCTAGAAAATGCCATTGTATTGATCAGCTGATTTTTCTAAACCATCAAGTAATAAATCCTACTTTACTGCAATGAAGAGTATTATGCATTACCTTTTCAAGCCTCTTGAGGGAAGTGGTGTCCATTACCATACCAACGTAAAAGAAAAGTGTGGTTTGCATAAGAATGTGTGGGGTTGAAGATGAAAACAATATGACCTGAGAGCTGAAAACATAGGCGTCAAGAAAGAAGCATTCAGAGCCTTACATCCATTTTCATCCCATGGTTTCCAGAGGCCACCAAGTTATCGCCCTGCATATGTTTCTTTGGCATGCATTTGTTCTGAATAAAGAATACTCTTGCTTTAAGGAAGCTGCAACCATAAACATTGGTCATGGATGGTGCAACGCTGCATGCTGCTGCTAACATAAGAAAAGTTAGTATCGGAGACTACTGCTGGGACTCAGGACAATAACCAGGAAAATCTAGCCGTTTTACCTTTTGCCTGAGCCTTGAAGAAGGAGATGTCCCTTTTTATCTAGGCTGTATTGGCATGTTCTTGGCAAATCCAAGATTTGGTTGTAGCTATGCATTTCTTTTTTACTTTTTTTTTTTTAACATTTTATTGTTGCAGTTCGGTTTGGTAGCAGTAAAATTGACACAGATCTCATCAATCGAATAGAAAGAGCTATTGGGCAAAAACCTCACCGCTTTCTACGCAGAGGAATCTTTTTTTCTCATAGGTGAGTTTTGTTTGTTTGTTCTTAAACTTAAAGGTCAGATTAGATGGAATTTTTGAGAGTATTATCTGGAGAAACCTATGCCCAGCAAAAGACTGTGTTCTTTTACATCCAGGTAAACCAACTCTATCATTTGAAATGGGTAAAAGCTACACCAGGTTTACACTGTCAACATTTGGAACACTTTATTCTTTTTGAGTATACATATTAGTTTTTGGTATGTCCTCACTAATCCCAAAAAGAAGAAGAAATGTGGAGGGAATTTTTTCTTTGTGCAGGTTCCAATTTGACTCTGTAGGTGAGCAGCCAGATAGAGGAACTGGCCTAGCAGAGAACCCCAGAGTTCATATGGAGTCACTGCTGATTCCAGTGAGGGTCCACATGGCCTGGGACTCTGAGGCTGTACCTGTGTGTTTACAAAAAATAGGCTCAGGGATAAGCTTAAGCACCAAGGGATAAGCTTAAGCACCAGCCTTCCAATCTTCTATACAGTTTAACTGTTAGCACACATGGCCTTTTGGCCCATGACAGCTAGCACTCTTCAAATCCATGCCTGAGTGAGATTCAGGACAAAACCCCCTCCAGAGACCATTCCCAGTAGATTGTTTGGATGTGGCACCTTCTTTGGGAAGGGAGAAACTTTAGCTGTGGGTATACAAACTAAGACATACTCCTTCACCTTGGGAACAGGAAATGATTCCCAGCCCTGTTTTATTCAGCTTTAGACATTATTATCCAATGAAGTAATTTTAAATGTTGCAATTTTTTTATTTTAATTATTTTGTTCTTTGTTCTTTTTCATATGTTCACTGGACCCGGGTATGTTTGCTCGATACTATATTTTATTTATAAATACATTTGGTTGTAAACACACTCACACTTTGAATAGAAGCTTTTTGCTATAGATGTTTCTTAAGTTCTGTAAAAATTGCATCATGCTTGCTCTGTGTTTTCTTTAGAGATATGGACCAAGTCCTTCACGCCTATGAAAATAAGAAGTCCTTTTACCTTTATACTGGCAGAGGCCCTTCCTCTCAGGCAATGCATGTGGGTCATCTTATCCCATTTATATTCACGAAGTAAGTTATTTCAACCATTTATATTAATTAAAACATGTTTTTCAAAGGAAATATTGATTAGTGTTTGTAGAACTACTAAAATGATAAATTGCAATGAGTTTTGTTTTTTTCAAGTAAATGTTAAGTAAATGACAAACTTTATACAATCATAACATTTCATTAGATTGATCATAGTCCCTGCATCACTATGAAGCCCTTCCTTCAACCATCAGCCCTGTAATGCTTGTGGAATTTTTGTTCCTGTTAATTATGAATTTGTGATAAGTCTCAGTAAAACGATCGTATGATGTGGTACCTGCAGTAGCAGGACTCAAAGAGCCAGAAAGTCCCTTTCAATTCTGTTCCTGTTGGAAATGACCACATATGACCACTAACATATGTACAGGAAACAATGAATTTGATTCTTTTTTCCAGGTAAGTGGTCATTATAATCTGTTTAAAAAGCTTAACTGTTCACATAAGCACACGTCATTGCATATGGTACAAAGATAACAGAAGCAGGCCTCTTTATATCTTTTTGTGTAAATATATGAAAAATATTTTAGCTGCATGACCTTATATCTTCATTTTTAGTTATTCTGAGATAAAAATCTTTTCTGCTTTTATTAGGTGGCTGCAAGAAGTATTTGATGTTCCCTTAGTTATACAGTTGACTGATGATGAAAAATACCTTTGGAAGGACCTGACAACTGAGAAAGCACATGAATATGCAATAGAGAATGCAAAAGACATTATTGCATGTGGTTTTGACATCAATAAAACCTTTATCTTTTCTGATTTAGATTATTTGGGGTAAGTATAAGATTTCTTTAGAGCTTTTTATCAAAAATTTGTAGGTATTGTCACTCAAGCTTTGACAGCCAGCAGTGTTTTGATAAATATATCTAGATTTGAAAGCTTCAGGACAAGTTGTATAATAGAAACTTACTAATATATTTTTTTTGCAGTCTATATGTTTTATATATATTCTTCTGGCATTCTTCTGTATAATATATAAACAAGCAATTGTGTGTGTACTGATCAAGCTTAAATTTAAAAAATAAAAAAAATATAGACCGCTAAAACGTAAGAATTCCTAAGCCACCAAGAAACCTCCGGATTCTTTTATTTAAGATGGTATCAAAACCTTTGAGATGTGTTTACACTTTGTATGTGTTATGTTACTTATCGGAAAAAGGATTTCAGCAACTTGTTATGGTCAATTAGTTTAATGATACAGCATGAAAGATTATTATTTGAACTTTCAGTAAAGTTTAAAGAAGATTTGAAAAAAGAAACTGCTATCGGAACTGCCTTCACATGGCCTTCCCACGGCAGAATCCAGAGCTGAAGCTGTGGGCTTTGCTCTTTCACATGGGGTGCTTCCTTGGATGCTTAGGATGAGAGAATGCATGTTTTAGAATGGATCTGTATAACGTATAGCCTCCAGAATGCAGGGCCTACAAACCATTTCCTCCTTTCACTCCCCTGACTTTCCTGACTCAGGAAAGATGCATTAGCACAGATCATCTGCCCTGTGACTGAGCAGCTCAGGGGCAGGTCAAAACTGCCGTTCCCATTACTTCAGGTTTTCAGCAGAAATAAAAGAAGGAAGTTCCTGAGCAGTTTCTGATTTGGAAATGCTGCTGCCGTATCTGGTGAGAAATACGGGACGAGGAAACTTAGCCCACAGAAAATGAGAACATGAAAAATCTTAAGCTACCTTTTCTTCGGTGAACCACAGTGTCCTTTATGGGGTATACATGGGGAATATCAAGCAACACACAAGACATGATCCAGTCAGGATTCCTGAGCTCACAGAAAAGCCTGGAGAGAAGTAAACTTCAGACACCATGAGGCATTTTTGGCACCATTTCCAAATGAAAATATTTCTGTTTTCGGACACTTCATTGTGACAAAAATGTTGTTCGCAATAAGCGTTATGAAAAAAAAAAGGAATATATTAAATTTCCAAGGCATAAAATTCTTGTTTGCAAATAATCATTGATTATCATCTAAATGTGCCACAAAAGACCAAAATGGTGCCTTCGGGAGTTTAATCCTGCAGGTTTTGTGGCACTCTCTCCTTTTGGAATGAAAGTTTCTGTCTATATGCTTTTCTGCTCTTGACTCCTCTTTTTATTTTTCCACTTTCTTTCTCACAGGACAAGCGCAGGATTCTACAAAAACATCGTCAAAATTCAGAAGCATGTTACATTTAACCAAGTGAAAGGAATCTTTGGCTTTACAGACAGTGATTGCATTGGTAGGAAATAATACAGATTTCTAGAAATGATGGCTGTTTTCACTTTCTATGGAGCTATTTAAGTAGTTATATAGACAGATTAGTATCTTCCACTCAAGTAACAGACAGAAAAAGCAAAATCCATATTTCTAAGCTGATTCCAAAAGGGTATTGTTGTGGTGCCTTCACTATGGAAAACGTTTAGGAGTGAAAGTTCCAGTATGAGAGCTATTTTCTGGCCTTAGTAACAGTGAAGTACAAAGCACAGAAGTTCAAGCGTCCAGGATAGAGAATAATTCTTTTTTTATAACTATTACTACAATAGTCAGTAATGTTTCCCAGAAATTTCTATTATAAAATCTTATAGAAGTTTTTCTACAGAAAAATTTATATTAATACACACACACCCACACATGACAAAAGTTAAGAGGTCCTCAAAAGCCCAATTGTCAAGATATTGAGTAGCTCTGCCTTTCATTTACCTCACTGCGATTGCAGGTTTCTATCACACTGGCCACAGAAAGATTCTGTTTCAAAGCTGTCATTTAAAACCTTGGAGTTCCTGAATGGTAGCATCGTTCTCTGACCAGTCAGTGGGCCAGTGGCAGCTTTTTAGCCTTCACTGTTACCAAGGAACTGATTCTCACCGAGGTCATGCCTTACTAATGTTCTAATAAATGTTGGTATTGTGATAATGACTTCTTTCTATATTTGGAAACATCTACTGTTAGCTTTCAGTCCTGAGAAGGTTTTGATCTGGGAAGTAGGCTAGACACTCTGCAGTTACATGAAGAAGATCATTAGTCACATCTGAGATGCTTTTTCATGACAATAGCAGGCACATAGCGATGGGTCTAAGATCTTAGAGTTGAACTTGCCCAATAGGTAGCTTTGTAACCATTCTCTCACTAAGGGAAAAAAAAAAAGAGGAGTCCATTAGAGTGATGATACAGTCAAGTATATTTTTGTGAAGAGTAGACACTTGAAGAGAAAAGAGGTGAGGCAGGTATTTTTCAGGTACAGAGCATGTGCTAATGAACCTTTTCCTGAACCTCTGTTGTCGCAGCCTGTCTTCTTTCATCAGTTCTGTTAGCTGAAGGTGTGTTGAAATCATAGAAGGTAAAGATGAAAATTTTTCCTCAGATGAGGGAACGATGCACGATAAGGGCAGGAGTTGGTCTTCACCTGAGCATCTGAATGATTCAACTGTGTATTTTGTACATTTCAGAAAGCTGTCTCTTTTTATCATTGCGTATTTTGACTTTTTCTCAGCTTTTTCCAATGTATTATTTTCTAGGAAAGATCAGCTTCCCTGCTATTCAAGCTGCTCCATCCTTCAGTTCATCATTTCCGCAGATCTTCAATGGCAAGGAGAACATTCAGTGTCTTATTCCATGTGCTATTGACCAGGTTAAAAACAGTATTACTTAATTTGATTTTCGTGTATTTGTTTTGGTAATGTACCCTTCAAAGTTAATGGTGCTCTATCAAAACATCTATAAAACATTCCTCTGAACACCTTTCTTGAGAAGAAGCTGGGAGAGATAAAAGGGTGTTGTGCTGTGTTCTGACAAAGATGAAGGCTTTCATAGCCTCACAGTCATGGATTCGTATATTACTCGTTCTTGCCAGTCTTGGACCTGTCTTGATCTCAGCCTGTTTCACAATGCACTGGCGTCTATGAAAGCAAAGACTGAAATCTTCAATTATGCAAAAGCTTATCGACATGAGGATAAGAAACAACTTCTGGCCATTTCTGTGGTAACTAGGACAAGAAGTAATGGACTTACTTAACTTACAACACAAGAGGTTCACATTGCACTTTAGGGAAAAACCTTCTACCACTAAAAATAACAAAGCACTGGAGTAGTTTTGCCAAAAACCTGAAGAACTTTAATAATTCAGATCTATTAGACGAGGATAGACCAACATCCACTGATAACGACAGTGGTAGTGTCATTACTGTAGATAAATATTGATTCTAGGAATCAAGTTCTGCACCATCTGAATCTTTAGCTGTTTAAGTGGCAGGGACAGTCACTGGAAGGTGATGTAATTACATTCATCTGCCATTGCTTTATGTGGTAAAACTCCTGCGTTGGTTTTAAGTCAGATCAGCAGCACATCACGGTCAGCTTGGTCATTGATTTAGTTTAGATTCTGTGATGGTTGTTAAATACAGTGGGAAGAACCTCACATCTTAGGCTGCATCCATCTCCAGGCTATTAAGCATAGTTTTCACAGCTATTTGAATGTATCTGTTAATTGAGGAAGTGGGGAGGGGATACAGTGAAAATACAGAAATAAAAAGGGTTTTTTTGTTTTGGTTTGTTTTATTTTGTTCCTCAAGGTGGGCTGCCTGTCTGAGGGAATTGGAAATAGGTTATGAAACATTTTTCTTTTCCTGAGGCCACCTGTTAAGTCAGGAACTAATGCCTAACAGTCAGCACTAATCAGCTTTTAAACCATGTTTTTCAGCTTTATTTTGTACTTTTATTAATGGTTGTTCTAGGATCCTTATTTTAGAATGACCCGAGATGTAGCACCTAGAATTGGACTTCCTAAACCAGCCTTACTACACTCAGTCTTCTTCCCAGCCTTGCAAGGAGCACAGACAAAAATGAGTGCTAGTGACCCAAACTCCTCCATCTTCCTCACTGATACTCCCAAACAGATCAAGACCAAGGTAAGAACCTATGCAACTTGAGAGCACAGAGCTTTATAATGAAGAGATATTTCTCATGATTACAATGATGACTTTTTAATGTTTTGTTAGAACATATCAGCATCCTTTTTCCTCATACATTTCATTGCAAAGCATCTTCGGCAATTGACAAATTTAGGCAAAGGTAGCTGAACATATGAGGTGTAATCTATTGCCCTGCCAGCTATACTAGCAATACAAACATTAGCTAGAGTAATCTACAAAACATCCTGTTTATTTATCTGATATCTGCAGAGCAGCAGTGTGTGAATAAGATTTATGGAGGTTCTTGCTTTAATAATAAACATTGTATTGCCACAGTTTTGAAATTTGACAGCCTGTGATAGAAACCAAATAAGCAGCTCTTTCTCTCGACTGCCTCTCCATGCAAGGAGCACAAAGTGTTGCACAGTGGCAGTTACAGTACTTGCCAGACTTTTCCTGCTACTTGAGGATCTGCTGGTGACATGCACTCCTCACTCAAATTCCCGGACAAATATTATGTTGAACCTCATCTAAATTTTAGAAGAGGTATACCGTCTGGGTGTATTCTTAGTGCCCCTTTTAGTTCTAAGGAAAATCCCTCTCATCCAGTGTCAGATGACTGAGTTATGCAAAAGCTCACCTGTGTCATAGTAGTTTTAAAAAAAAAAAAAAAGGTCATTAAGTGGAAAAGGATTAATAGACAAAATAGCTAGACCTGAAGTTACTATCGATCAAAACAAGAAAAGGTATATATCTTATTGTGGCCAGGAAAGCAAAAATCAGAGAAGGAATGGTAACTTCTGGTCATAGCTAAAGGTTAAAACTAGAGTGCCACTTTTGCACAAGAAGACCTACAGCCTTTTTCAGGTCACTTATACATTGCCAATTAATGAGGTTCAAAACTTGCAGGTAATAGAAAATGAAAACTTAGTCAATATCGCGAAAGACTGAGAAGCATCTGAGAAATTATTCAAAGGAAATGAATTGTTGTTGTAAACTTCTTATTTCACCTATGAACACTCAGCTCAATTATTTACATGTTTTATTAGAATCTAATTTAGGTTCTAAGTTATCTATATCAATTTAGAGAAGAGATCAGTGCATCACTATAGATTCTGTAGATCACTCTAGAATCATTGAAACAATCAATAAGTAAGGGCTAAAGTATGTAAGAAATGAACTCAAGAATAATATAGAACTTTTTTTTATGAAACAATAATATGCCTTCAGCTGGTGTATTGTATTTAGTCCCTCTCATCTTAGTAAGAAGACAAACTATAGAGATTGGGGGCATGGAAAAAAACAACGGACTTGCAAAACATGGGAATCTGGTAAGGAGATATGTGAGGGAAAGCACAAAAATAATATGTAAAAAATTAATTTTACAGATACTGAAGCAGCTATTCAGGCTGTCCTGCAATATAAGAATAGATGTATTGTGACAGATGGCAGTTTATTTTCTTAAGATACTCATCACTGCATAATTATGGTATGCAACTCATTGCCACAAAATATCATCTATAACATGATGGTTAGAAAGATTCAAAAAAAGCAACACTGATACACTGATACAGATAATAAGAATATCCAAGAATGGTAAATATGAAACAAACAATTCCTAAGGACCAGCACCAATAAAATCTTCCTTCATATGCATGCATTTCTCTTGGCTGTTGGTGATATCTGAAAAAAGGTGCAAGATCCAGATGAAAGCTGCTCTTGTCATTGGGGAAGGCTTTTTCTTCCTTTCCCTGGCTATTTTCTTTAAACTTGTGGGAAGATTAGCATCCCTTGAGAACTCTAACCATGCCATTTATTTTTAAATAGGCCTTTTAAATAGGTCTTTTGAAATTACAGCGAATGGGATAAGCAGATAAGCTATATTTACCAATGCAGTTTGTCTGCCCAGAGGAAGCTAGGCTTAAAAAGGAGGAAAAAACTCAGCAAGTATTCCATTTTTAGACTGAGCAGTTTGGCATTTGTCTAAGGATAGCCATCCTAGCCAGGGTTTTGTAATCTGTAGCCTTGCTTTCTTGTGTTTTCCTTCTCTGAGAAAAAAAAAAGAGGAAACTAGGTTCTCTCTAGAATTCCTTCAGAATTCTCCATTCCTCCTCCATCTCTTTCAAAACTAATTTCTTGATGAGATGTATATCTTTATTTTTTCTTATAGAAAGTACATTTCTTGTAAGCACACAGTCTCCCCAACAAGCAACAGCTTCTTAAACTTTTTTAACAAATCTTGTTTGAAATTTTTTTTTTGCTTTCTGCTTCCTTTTGGTCTGGTTATGCAATCTGTGGAATGTGTGTGCATGGTCATTTTTCTGCGCTGGCTTTTTTGACCTTCCTGCTTCAGACCTAAGACTCCATATTAACTTGTCCCACTCATCTTTCAGCTAGTCCTTAATATAGCCTTCAGGGGGTTGTGATACACCCCCTTTTCTCAATGTAGTAATCGGCACTTTCATAGAAATTACACCATCAAACCTTTATGTTGTTTCAGATTAACAAGCATGCCTTCTCGGGCGGTAGAGATACTATTGAAGAGCACAGGAAGTATGGGGGTAACTGTGACGTTGATGTGTCTTTCATGTACCTAACTTTCTTCCTAGAAGATGATGACAGGCTTGAACAACTGAAGCAGGTAAGTAGCCAAGTTAAAGATAATACTATTCATTCCTTACTGGGAGGACAAAGCTATAACCAAGTCATCCTATGAACCTTCTCCAGGAAAATAATCATCTTGCTCTTCTTCCGCTCTCCGTCTCTTACAAGTTTCATTGTATGTGGTTGTTGCAATGTTCTCCTTTCTCACAGATTATCGCTACCTTTTTTTTTTTTTTGAAAAAAAGAAAAAAAATCAATTTCCCAAGTATTTTCATAAAAATCTCTAACGCTATGTAGGACAGTGTCTCCCCTCCTTTTCAAATGATGGAACCTTGTTGAGAATCATGCTGCTCTTTAGTTGTGTCATAAATCCTGCCTGTGCCTAAGGTGCAAAATACTTAAATACTCTGCAACTACAAAAGCTCATGTCAAAAGCTGGTTGTTTTTTCTGTCTTAACTTCATAAGAAAGGTAATAGCAATGAGGAATTGAATCACCGAGCCCAAACAAAAGCTAACTACTAATGTAAGTAGTGTTTTCCTTAAAACTATCTGACCGGCTTCTGTCCCTGGCAGCAGTAGCAAGACCTTTCACTGCTTTCAGATATGTGATCATCAACAATACTTGGGAATATGTATTCTTTGGAAGGAGGTATCTGTAGATGATAGTACCCACGTCGTGTTGGTTTGTCAGCTTTCTCCTGGTGGGAACAGCTGTAAGAAATGCAAGAGCTACAGATTCTTCTCTAACCCTTTAACCTTTCCCACTCAAGGGCAGGTTGGGTAGCTACTAATCCCCTTGCAAACTCTTGCAAATTCTTTATGTATCTGGAGCACAGCTGAGGTACTAAGCAGTTTTCCATTACTCTCCAACCATTGCAGGAATATTAACATAACACTGCTGCAGGGAACACTAAGCCTAACCCACAGCTTGCTGCAATGCTGCCTCAGAGCCAGGTTAGAAAACATGAAGTCACAGCTGAGGGCGACTGTTAATTTAAATTGGGATTCTGAGGAGGAAAATGTGCAGCTTCCTGCAAGTAGTTACAGGGTTTCCAAGTTAAATTCTTGTGAATATAGCTTATTCAGTCCATACAGCTTGTTATATATGAAATTGCCCAACTGCCTTAATCTTTTAAAAAGCAACAAGTAATTTTTCAAGTCACGTTTTCAGATCATCACCAGATGATCTTATAAGGCATATACGTATTTATAGAGACATCCAAATCTTTATTTGCCAGGGCCATATTTCTAAAGAAATTCTTGTCACTAGGCCTGTTTTCATAAAGCACCATACTTAGCACTCAACACTTTCTTGACAGGCATACACAAGTGGGGAATTGCTCACAGGGGAGCTGAAGAAGGTGCTTATTGAAACATTGCAGCCCTTGATAGCATCTCATCAAGAGAGACGCAAGCAGGTCACAGATGAAATGGTGAAGCAATTCATGACTCCACGGAAGCTAGCTTTTGAATTTTGAAGAAATGCGTATGTAACTTACCACTTGATAAACCAAAATCAAATACTTGTTGTCTTCTGTTGTATGTCATCACTCCTTAGTTATGTACAGCCTGCTATCAGTGCTTTATAAATATTGCTTTTAATGAGTTACTTACAATGAACATCAGAGTGCAGAAAAAGTTTAAAATGGGATTCATATCTATTTAAAATCAAAATGTGCTAATTGAGGAATTGATTCCATACAAGACAGAATTGCCTGATCTTGCAGAGAAGCATGTCTGTCAGCACAGGACCCTATTTTATTGTATTTAATGTTGAAAATATATATAAATAAAATTTCCATTTTGATGCTAAAGTCTAACTTGTAAATTGTTTTAGATTTGTTGGTAAGAGGTCAGATCTCAGAAACTAATACCTAGCAACTCCAATTTCTTTTGTCCTGTGTAGCTTTGTTTACTAGACTACATGTTCTAGCGGGCTGCTTGGGAACACGCCGCATGCATGAAGATGATGAATGTTACGAAGTAGATTACACGGGGACTTAGCCTGAGATCAGTACGGAAAGGGTGGAGGCCTGCGAGTGGAACGCAGGAGAGAGTAAAATCTAGTTGGCTTTGTTATCCTCTTCCAAGTCACAGAAAACTGTCTTTGCTTTCGTTTCTTCAACTATAATACCAGTCTGAATGCCTCTGAAGGAAGGAGATAAAACAGGGTTGTGAAGTTCCTTGATATTCTCAGGTGAAAGATATTATAGAAATGCAAATGTTAGTTTCTAGTTATGAGAAATACTAAGTGTTGAATCATGCTGTGAGAATGAAGTCACTGCTGTACGCAGTGATATTTCTAGGGCTATCTGTCCTGTTTTACTGCACCAGATCATTTAAACCCACAGTACTTATTTTTAGATCTATCCAATGAGAAAATCTACTTTGTTGAAATACCTCATGTAATACCTCATTCTTTCCTTTATTAAAAAAAAAAAACTTCAATGTCTTTGGTATGATTTATGGAGGAGCAATTCACATGATCAGCTAGTTTGTTTTCATATGTACAGTACTGAATATATACTGTTAGATCTGTCCTGTATTTATGTAGAATAGATGGTGGCTAGCCCAGACCCATCTTATCTAAATCAAATAAAAATACCTTTGATAACACAGGTGGGCATTGATGTGTGGTATTTGCAAGTCATTTAAAATTTAAGGACGGCACTATAATGAAGTGTGAAAGATTTAACCTTTAACAGATTCTGTACTGTGGAACTTAGTAGATATCTTGGTATATGTAGTCTTAAATTAAAAGCATTTTTTTTTAAAATCCTTAAGCCTCTGAAGGCAGCTGATTACACTTGGTCTGAGGGAGAATTTCCAAGAGTGAGGCTTCTCATTGACTTCAGTAGACCTTGGGTCAGTCTGTTAGCACATAAGAATGTGTTGCACCATTTGTCTTGCCGGGAGCTGGTAGACATTGCAAAATTACTCCCTTTTCACCTGTAACGGTTCTGTAGCAGTGCATACATGTCCTTGCATTTCTGAGAAGGAAGCTTTTGTGCGCCAAGCTGTATACGAAGTGACTGCGTTAGTGTTATAGGGGCCAAGGAAACTGAAATGCACAGCACATTTAGTCTTACTTTGTGTTTCAAACTCGTGCTGAGAATAGGAGTGCTTAGCTTTTTTCTTTTTTCATTTCAGTTTACGTGACCTGGCACCACTAATCTAATGCCACTGACTTTGATGCATTAAAGTAAATGTTTACCAACAGCCTACCTCTCTATAACCCATGGTCGTAGTATCTTAGTGCTGACAAGTCTTTAACAATCAGTAGATGTACTTATTTCTTTTTAAAGTCATCGAGTGCTTCCCAGAAATCAAAATAGCATCTTAAATACAGTGGTAAATAAACTAATTCCTTGTTACGTTAGACTTTTCAATGGTGACCTTTCTGTTCTCACAATGCAGTGTTTGCCATCTTTGAGCTATACCTAATAGATAGCTCTTAAATTGATTTTAAAGGGCTTTTACAAACTCATTGTGCAAATTTCTTTGTGAAAATATTCCAGGCAGATCAGTCCTGTAAGATTTATTTCCTTAACTAAGAATTAATTCAGTTATTCAGCGGAAGAATGTGGTATGGGACAAACTCATAGTGTGTTCTATTCTAACTAAATTTATGAATTAATTTATAACACAGCAATTAAAATCTGAAAGGAAAGTTCTAGAAGGGCATGTGGTAACAAAATTAAATTATCACTTGCTTACTGAGAAAGCACTTTACTCAAGTACTCGGATGAACGCTTACAAAGTGTTGCTCTTCTGAATCCAACAGAAATGATACAATTTCTTGGCAAAGGAAGCTTGGCAAATTCCTAAATCTGTTGTCATTATTATTCATATCCCAGAGGAATTTAAAAGTTATGACAGGGCAGTCTTGAAAAGCATGGGTGAAATGTCTGAGAATGTTATCAGATAATGTTCATTATATTTGCCTCCATTTGTTGATATTTTGTTCATCTGGCTGTAATAAAAATGTAGAGCACAGTCTGTATCCAACTTCTTCATTTGATTTTTTTTTTAACTTTTAAAAGGCTTAATTTACACTTTTACTGTATTTTTAATCACTCTTCTTGCCCTTTGGAGTATCGATTTAGTCATCGAGTCAAGAAGTTGTTCTTAGTTTTGATGCCCATCACCCTGCGAGTAGTGAAATAGGATGCCTTGTAACCCTCCGTATCCAGTCCTACCAGGTAGATTTGAGATTGCTCCCAGAGCAAGCTAGCAAGAGTCAGTCATCCAAAGACTGCCTGGTTGCAAGTAAGACTGGATGTTGAATTTACTTATGTACAACAACCAGTTTAGAAATGCGGGAAGGTCAGCGTGACCTGTTACTATGATGCTTTGATAGGTTTGGCATTCATACTGGTGCTTAAATGAGTGCAGTTGTCTGAGGAGCAGAGATTCTGAATAGCTTCCCATGGCTCTTCCATGCTCACTAAAAGGCATGCTGAAATCTACTCAGATATTTGTGAACATTGTCACAAAACCAAGAACTAACAGCAAAATGAAAACATGAAGCAGAATGTTCCTTCTAAAGAAAATTTTCTGTTTTCAAGGCCAGGAAGTTTGTTACTGAAAGAAATTGGCTCTACAGAAAGCTGCAGTCCTTAGCAAAGTAAACCCAGTAATGGCTCAGCAAATGTGGTGTCTTCCTTCTGTTGGCTGGCCTTCAGCTAGGTAATTTATCAGAAGAAATAGTTCTGTGTTTATCAGAGTAGCAAACAGAGTAGCTGAAGGTCAAGGTAATGCAAAGAAGTGAGAAAATAAGCAGCCAAATTCCGAAATCCACAAGCCAAATACCCAGCTTAGTGTATATAGACTTAAGGGTACCCTATATAATATGTAGTTAAATAAAAATAGTTTCTTATTTATGTGCCTGGGTTTACAGTACTTCGCTCTATGTGAATTAGCCTCGAGTTCTTACTTTAAGATGGGCTGTTGCCAATACATTGCATATATATATTTTCCCAGTAAATGCTTGCAGACTGAATGTATTGCAAAGTAATTGGCTTCCTCAAATAAACTTCCTGAAGAAATGACTTACCTCTCATGTAGCGCTTGTTCAGGCCAAGTGGGAGCCTGCTTTTGTATGATGCTGAATACCCAGGGGCTTACAGATCTCAGCCCCTCTGACTGGCTTCCACGGTTTTTTCCACTTGGTTTTATAATTCACCTATAATTCCTGTTTCTTGAAACCACCTGTATTTGGCCTACCCCTAGAGGAGGAGACGTTTTTAGTCATTTGAATATTTGAGCCTGTTAGGAAAGTTGAGCTACTTCTGATTAGACTTTGTTTTCAAACATGAGGCTGACCATGGATGGCATCAACACTGCCTAGCAATAAATGATTGATTTGTCTTATTTATAGGTATTTTTTCCTGTCTCTCTGCTCAGAGGACTTAATGCCTGAGAGCTGAGTTAGGCTGAGAATAATATAGTATAAAGGAATTTGATTTCAGGAAACATCCAGGCAGAGCTGGGATAACTCACCACCCTGCTGGGAGAACACTCAGTCTAATGCATCCCTTGTAGAAAGAGGTGAGGGTAAGTAATCTCTTAAGAATCATCTTAAGAGGAACTTCAAATCTTGCTGGCTTAAATAAATATTTTGTTGTAAGGATTTTCAGACTAAAGGAAGTTTGCTGCTCATGCCCTAAGATGTAACCAAGGGTACTAGGTTGCTAAGTCCATAAGCACCTTCTATGTTGCGTCTTTCATTTCACACCCTTTTAAGGTGACATACTCTGAACCTATCTATGGTCTTTTAAACCTGCTCTTGGCTTGGCTGCAGCAGCTGATAGGCTCTTGAGAGAAAAATTCATGGTAGTCATTTGATAGCATGGCTGTGAACAAATTCAAAAAGCAAGTTGAAGGCTTAGACTTCAGGAGGGTGGTTCTGGAGCTTTTTACTAGTCTTTTGGAGTGGAAGAGGTCCCTTTTATTCTTTGCTAGTAGCACTTAAAATTTTTAAGCTTGTCCTTTTAGTACAGGATCGTTTCTTCCATTTCCAGAATAGCGGCATTGCAGGCCATTCCTGCCTGTTGAACAATTGCTGTTAGTGTAGTCAAGGCCATGCTATCAACCAGTAAAAGTGGATGCAGACCAAAAGTTCACCCGCCCTGAATAAAAGAACTCCTTTAAAAAATAGTCTTCCCCTTTTGCTTCAAAAAGGCACATTTTTAGCACAATTTTGGGGCGAGATCCAGTTCATTCCAGCTGTTCTCATCAAGATAGAAAAATAGAGATACAAAACATCTAAACGGCTCCTGAGGCAAGATCTGCAAATCAGAGTGTTTCTGAGTTTAGGGAGGTTCCTTCTGAAGCAGTTGTATTTCCCCCATGCCCCAATAGACAGGTTTATGAAGTATTATACCTTCAGAACATAACTTTGACAAAAAAAAAACCCAAACATTTGGCCAGTCCTAACAGTGTTTTTTAAAGTGAAAAGAGTATACCCTTTTTTAAAGTAATTAATCTTAATTATACTACACAATTTGCACTTCTCCTTTCATTTACCTAACTCCTAGTGCACAGAGCTTATAGCAATCTTTCTGTTGGGAAGCGAAGGTTTTTGCTCCTCTCCCTGCCCTCCTTACAGTACAAGAACAGCTTGTACAAAAAGCTTTATCAAGATTCAGGAACATGGTACCTTCTACCACCAGAAGGGGACTGAAGCGTTACTGCTAATGATTGCACAGGGAGAAAAAAAAAAAATCACATGATTTACTGGAAATGAAGCCTGTTTTCATTTTCAATGAGGCCATTAGAGAGATATTATGTAAACAGACTATGTGCCATTCATTTAAAGACAACAGGTAAAAAGCAAGGCAATTCATATTTCAGCTGCTACTGAAGGGATATAATTGTGGAACACTTGGGCAAAATTACAGATAGGAATGAAAGCTCTGCCCGTTGTGGCTTGAAGCACAAACATGTAAGGTATTAAGTGAAGGCAATCCATGTATTAAATATAAAGAGCATGCACTGTGTAGCGTTAAATCTAACACACACAAACTGCCCTCAACTCTTGCCTCGGTAGTGAAGATCAGTTTTTGTACTGCTAGAAAACAAAATCCATCTTTTGTCAAAAATCTCTAGTCAGACTACCAGCCTTTTAGAACATAAATATTTGCAAATGTTTCAATGGCATGAATAGTAGCTGCAGTCTTAAGTACATTAACAGGACAAAAGGGAGGTTGACTGCAAGTACGAGGCTTCCTCTGAGTTTGTGATCATATAAAAATAAAACTAAAAGATCAGTCATCCAGCTTTGTGCTGAAATTTCCATACTTCTTACACTGTCCAGCAATGTGAGCAGAGTTCAGCAGTTATTTTTGTATGTTGTGTTACAAAAAAAAAAAAACAAACTAAACAAAATACACCTCTGAACAGAGTGACGTAAGCTATTTTTCATTTGTAAGATGATCTGTAAACCTCAGTACAGCTTCATATGTTACAAATACAACCATGTTCACAGGAAATGCACGAATGCAGTTTAAGCCCAGTCCTTTGAAAAGCACTTTCACACCCTCCTTTCTCACGCTTTCTCTAGTGCAGTGGATGAGGCCTTTGTACTTGTGCTGTCCCGATTCGTCGGTTTGCATCCGTGATTTGATGACATCCATGGGAGTAGCTAATCCCCAGGCCAGGACTCCAGCAAAACCACCAGAAAGCAGGACAACTACGAAACCTGCAAGAGAAGATGAAGGCAGGGGAGCAGTTAGTTCAAGCCTTTCATTGATATAGCTATGGGCATCTCAGATTTATTTTCCTCAGCTACTTAAATCTTTTCAAATCTAATTGTGCAAATAATTTTAGGAACAGGAAAGAGAACAGAAAGAGCCCTAAATTGAAATTTTGCTCAGTCTGGCATGGTTGGGACCTGCCAGCAGTGCAAAGTTAGGATGACTGCATTAACATCACTGCACTTTTGCAGGTGTTTCCTAGCATTTCTTTAAATAATTGTCTCTCCAGTTCTGCTGGAATTCTGATCTTTTCCTTGGATTCATCCAGCCTGCGTGGTGTCTGTTAGGGAGTTTGCCTTCCCAGGCCCCTTGTCTCTACCTCCCCTTCCACCATACAGCAATCTAAACAGCACACTTTATAGATCATATGAGGCTATACAGTGCCTTGAGCAGCGAGCCCACAGCTTGACCTGCTCTTGCAGAATAAAGTGAAGAAGAGCTGGAAAACACTTAGCCAGTCATGCAGTCGCAGAACAAGGGGGCGTTCTCCTAGTTCAAACAGCAAACTTTGCTCCTTGGACAGAGAAGGACGAGGAGGAGCACCTTCTCTTTCCACAAGCTGCTTAGCAAATGCTAACTTTTTAACCTTCATGTTTTTCAGTAACTAATTTGTCTTGCTCTTGCAGTTGTGTATTTCCAGTGATCTCATACAAAACATGTGACCTTGATTTCACAGCATACCTGCTTTGCATACATCATGCTGGCTTGTGCAAAGACAGCATCCATTAACACCACACAAATGGAGTGTGACATGGAGCCTGTCACTCCAAGGCGCTGAACTGCCGCAGCCTGAGAGCGCTCAGGCCCTCCTCAGCTGGGCCTCCTTATTTTTGTAATTCTCAGGAAGATTGTTTTTGCCGTATGGAAAAATTTATTTTGCCTCTTTGGTATTTTCTCAAAGGGGGTAGCAGATAGTTCTTTTTTTTGGAGGGACAAGTCACCAACCTAAGAAACCTAAGTCTCTTTCAGTTCTGCGCCTAGACTCTATTTTCAAGCTCCAGTCTGACCCTGAACGAGTGCTCCATGATACCTCATGGCACTTTGTCCATGTTTCATTTCCAGTTGCATACCCCATTTCTTCATAAAGAGGATTTCACGCTCGCATACTAGGTACTGGAGTATGCTGTAAACACCCCTCCTGCAGGAGAAGGAGTAGCTGCTGAGGGACAAGACCTTCAAGTGAACTTTTGGGGGACACACAGAGTTCAGCTCCTATTTGATACACTCAAACCTTTTGTTGCCTAGAGCAAAAAAAAAAAAAAACCCAACGTGTGCACTGCACTAGAGAGAGGGACCATCTCTCCACTATCTGCTCACAGCAGACACAGCTGGGTCATGCCCCGTGCTCCTCTCAGTACTACAGTAATACACAAGAACAAATCCTAAATGTGCCCTAACTTGGATCATCCCAGCCCCTGGCTCCTGCTATTTCTCCTCACAGCACATTGAAAATATCTCAGGAGTGCTGTCCCCAGCACAACAGTGCCGTGTCATTGCCACAGGCCTAGAAGAAAAGCCTCCAGCCCTTCCAGTGCTCTCTCAGCCTGAGTTATTTCAGCAAGGCATGTGCTGGGAGTGGTGAAGGCATTTACCCTGCTTCATCCTCCCCATGGCTGCGTTTATTCTCCAAGCGCTGCAGTTGTGCTAGGCAGGGGACCCTCTCTGCAGATGAGTCCCTCTAAACCCCCACCGGCAGGGAGCACAGCGAGGCTGCCTGCGGCCCGCCTTGCAGGCAACTTCCCCAGGGCATCTCAACCCCCCCCCACATGCCGTCGCCATGTACTAAGCAGCTTACCTTGCTTGTCACCCTCTCAGCCACGTGGGCCGAGTTTGCTCAGCACGGCTGGAGCAATCAGCCAGCAAATCCTCACCCCCACCCTGCCTGCTCCCCTGGCTGAAGGGCAGGAAACAAAGACAGTGAAATAATAAAACTTGCCCCTCACAAGGCACGGTTTTGAGCAAAGCCTTACAGATGCTGAGTAATGTTTGCTGAGAATATGATTTTCCTCTCAGCATGATACAAAATGAGCCATTTTTGCAGATAATGCAAGACTCTCTCTTGTACCTACCCGGTTTTTTTTTCCCCACTGGTGTAAGCCAGTCACACAGAACAGAATAGGTAAGGAAATATATTGCAGAAGAGGAGCAATCCCTGCAGAGTAATGCAGAGCAGCCTTTGTAGAGACCCCCAAAACCTTCCTCCTTTGCGATCACCTTCAGACAGTGCAGAGAGCCTTGGTACTTCGGCTTAGAAATAGGTTGGGGAGATGCCACAGAAGGATGTGGTTGCCTCTGAGTTTGCATTCGAACTTTAGCTACCTCACTAGGTGTCATCAACATAACCTGTAAAGTTAGAGGACATTATTTTAAACCTTCCCATTTAAACAATGTTTTCATGCTCCTCCAGCCTCACCCATCAAATCACTCGTCTCCCACCTTTTCAGGTAGCAGTATTTATTATCTAAAGCCAGCAAGCTCCAGCTTCCTCGCATTGGTCCTCACTACACCGCCACAGAGCAGGAGCAGGCCAGGAGTGTGAGCTTGTGTTACGCTGTGCGCAGTGGCGAGGCAGAAGTAGGTAGAGTACACCAAATAGCTGTAAAAACTTGTTAAACCACATGGGCATGGACAAAAAGGATGTCCTCGGCTAACGAATAACATACATTGGGGCTCTTCAACACACTGGTAATTGGAAAAAAGGCCATAAAGAATATCAGAAACTCAACTGTGTTAAGTAGAGTCATTCCCTACCGGGAAACTCCTAGAGCCCCGATGAGCTGGACTGCCCTGCCCGAGGACTGCCTGCATCCGCCAGGGCTGCGTGCCCCTCGGAGCCCGGCACGCGCCAGGGCCGCGGGAGGCCCTGTGGCATTGGCAGCGCCTGCAGGGCTCGCAGAAATCCATCTGCTTGCAGGAAACCGCACCTCAATTTAGACTTACCACGTAACATCCTTTCTGGGAATCACACGCGCGTTTGCCAGGCAGCTTCGCTTACCAGTGATGCCCTGAGCCGTGCTCGGTTTTGAGTCCTGCCAAGGCAACGCTGCGCGCTGTTCCCTTCCCCATGAGCGCGGAGGTACCTAACCCGAGCTCAGCAGCTGTGGCGTTGCTCGCCCAGCTGGCGAGCAGCCCTGCGCAGCACACCCTCGGCAGGCTACGTCACCCTCCGTCGCACGAGAGAATTAATTCCTCCAGGTGAAAGGCTGCTCCTGCTCTCCCTGACCCGGCAGGCTCTGACCCCCGCTTGA